TCTCCATACCGTCGGCCCCCTCATTGGGCTCCCCATTGATTGCCATCAATGCACCCCCTCTAATTTTTGAAATCTGAAATTGATTTCAATTAAACCCCCTCCCATCCCAATTAAAACTGAAATCTATTTCAGTTTTTCTACACAAAGCTCTCACCCCTCTCTCTCTCCACTTTGCCAACTAAGCAACATTTAATACCTCCTCCAATTAACCATCAATCCCCCACCCGTTGGAATTGAAATTAAGTTCAGAAAATCTGAATCAATTTCCTCCAATTCAAATTCAAACCGGCAACATTACCAGCAGGCTTCTTCCTGCTGTCACGCCGTCCAGGGGTTTCCACACCCGCTGCCTCACGTTCCTAGACGTGTTACCCTGCTGGCTGAAATTCCTGCAAAGGAAAATCAGCAGTTTCACTGCTACGAACCCTCAAGGTGCTGTCCAAAGCCTTCCTATGGCTGCTGTTCAGATTTTCTAAGTTATAGGGTTGCTGTCCAGAGAAATTTCAGCAGTAGAAACAGCTATTATGCAGATCAAAAGTCCTCCAACTGCCACACAATTCTCCAAACAGAATTCAGATTGTTGTCCAAAGAAGATTCAGCCAAAGGGGACGACTGTCTTGCCCGGGCAGATTTTTTATTGTTGTTCCAAGTCCCAAGCCTAGGCTTCGGTGACCTCTTTCCTTCATTCTTTATTTTCCTAGTGGATCCGGAAGTTGACAGTGGATTGGTGCTTGACGACGAGGGATATATTCACACCATCCGCTCTCCCTTCTTTGACGTCGGGTTTGGATTCGACGAAACGGTGGAGAACTACTTGAACCGCACCCTACCCACACTCATCGACATCATAGACGAGCGGTTCGAAGATTACGAGTGGACTATTGAAAGCACGCCGCCCGTGTGTCCTCCACCACCGGCAACCCCTCCGTGGCTCAAGACCCTTGGCATTGCAACCTTCCTCGTGGCATCGTTTGGTGTGCTGAAAATCTTCTCCCGCTAAGCCTAGTTTAGTTGAGTGGTTAATCCCCAAGGTGAACTTCTCGTTATTAAATTACGGATTGTTGCTTAATAGCTTTTGGTGTTGCTACTATCGTTGTTTATCCATGAGTTTTGGTTAATCTACGCATACTTCTTCGCCTAAGCTAGTTAATAACACGATTTCTTTAATGATTTTCTTGCTATCTCAATAAGATATTACTTGAAATTACGTTGTCATTCACTTTTAATTTTTCTTAAGAAGCTCCTTGCATGTGGTATCACATCAGGAGGTGGGTGCAGTTTGAGAAGAGGGGAAAGGGGAGAGGGGGCGGTAGGGTTAGTTAGGGTTTGAGGAAATTTAGGGAAAACTGAAATTAATTTCAGTTTAAGGGGAATTGGAGGGAAAATATTTGAGTTTGAATTTCAAATTCCAAGTGGGGGATGG